TGTCCTGGGGGTGGCTCTTGGATGGCAGCCATCCCGAGGGGACAGGGTGTGAGCCACAGCAGCCTGCCCTGCCTCAGAGCTGGGGTGGCACCAGCAGAGAAGGATTTGGGCTCTTCCCCAGCAAATCCTGGATCTCTGTCATTTGCTCCAGGTGAATGAACTGCAGAACTTAACGAGCGCAGAAGTCATTGTGCCGCGAGACCAAACCCCGGATGAGAATGAGGAGGTCGTTGTCAAAATCATTGGGCATTTCTTTGCCAGTCAGGTAAGGTTTGGCCATGGCTCTCCCAGCATCCCCAGTTTGAGGAAAGCTGCCAAGCACAGCATCCCCTGAGCTGCTCTGAGTGGTTTCTGTGCACCTAAGGTGCACTGAAGGAGTTTATGTCTGCATTGAAATTAAAGATTGGCTCTATTCAGCCAAAAATCTGTGCCTTGGACATGGGATGGGAATAGCTCCTGCATCCCACTTGGGTGCATCTAACCAGGCTGGGTTCATGAGTGCGAGGGCATGGTGATACCCCAAAATCTTGAGCGATGGAAGAACAAGCCAAACCCTTGCTTTAGCACACCCTCACATGCTAAAGGCTCACTTCCATGCTTGGCCTGGTGTTAAAAGCTGCAGAGCTGTGGTGCTCAGCCCCCGTTTCTTGCCCTCCCCCAGACCGCGCAGCGCAAGATCAGGGAAATCGTGCAGCAGGTGAAGCAGCAGGAGCACAAACACGCTCAGGGAGCCGCGGCCTCGCAGCACAGCAAGTGAGGCTCCCGCAGCACCGCCCGAGGAATGTAACCCCGCCAGCGCCGCCGGCCCGGCAGGGCAGGGCACCGCCAAAGAGCCCCGAGCCCCCCGGCGGCGCAGAGCCGGGGCACGGGGGGCTCTTCCACCCCGCAGCTTCCGCCTTATCCATCGCCTCCCCCGGCAGCTGGACTAACGCAGGCAGAGAGAGGTGGTTTTTATTTTGGAATTCTCCCCCAAACCTGCCCACTCCACCCCGGAGGAGCTCGCCCGGCCTCGGGGGGGCCGCGGCGCTCGTTAATTTAGAATTAATATATCAATAACGAAACTAACGGCGATTTTTAAGTTTTGTAAGGTTTTATTTTTTAACTCACTTTTTAAATTTTTTTGGGGGAGGGGGCTGTTTGTTTTTAGCAAAAGCAGGCTTTTCTAGAGGTTTAATGGCAGGAGCTGGTTCATTGGTTCTCTAATGCACCGTAGAGCAGAGCTGTAGGATCGCCAGCAGGGAAAAAAAATACTAATTAAGTGTTAAAAAGCAGTTTCTGAAGGGCTTTGAGAAGAGCAGGGCCTGTAGGAGCCAAGAATATTCCTCGTGTAGGAATTGTTCCTCTCCTTCACACACCTTTTCCTCTTTGCTTTGGACTCCAAAAGCAGGGTTTGCATCTGTTCTGTCCCCCCTTTCTGTCTGTCTGTCCTCTCTCCATCACTGCCCAGCACTGACATCCGTGGAAAATAACGGGCAGCACCAGCCCTGCCCGCTTTGGACTGGGATCCTTGGGGAAAGATCCCTGTTGCAGGGAGAGGAGGGGGAAATGGGTGAAAAAAATGGATTTACAAGAGGTTGTCAGCCCAGGGCTGGAAAACCCAACCAGCAAAATTGGCTTCAAATGAAAAACAACCCAAATAACCCTCCCGACACACACACACACACACACAGAGAAAAACTACCTCAGGTTTTCGTACCTCAGCACCTTGCGCTTGTGTTGCCCTTTTAGAGATTTTTGTATGCCTTGTAAAACTGATAGTTGGAGCATTTTTTTATTTTTGTAATAAAAAAAAAACGAGTTGGAAAAATGATCTCGACCAAGTCAGCTGCAAGGTGGAAGAAGGAAACCAACCCCCGTGTCCCAGAGCTCTTCC